GAAAGAACATTTTCTTACTTTTTATAAAATTTTTGCATGAAGCGTCAATGAATTTTGACACTGTAAGAACAAATAAAATATTTACTTCTGCCACATAGTTACTCCCTGTAAAATCTGCACAAGAAAATTTCTTTCACACAACCCATTCTTTCTCATGATGGGGAAATCAAACTTTGAAAGCTCCCGGGCTTGAATTCATGAACATTTAATATTTTTAAAAATGTCCAGTGCAAAATATGGAAATGACTGTTTCAAGAACCATATAAACCAGCTTCCTACTCTTTCTTGACCTCAGCACTATTAATAGAATACATTATTTATATCATATAAACTTACCTTGAAAAGTTCTGTGTGCTAAGACCAAAGTCCGTTGCTTCTGGACACTTTATATACTTGGATACAAACTGGAATTCAACACAGAAGAAACACTTCATTACATGACATGAAAACAGTCTGAAACAATTTTTCTACGATCTAATCCTACACTTATTCTAAATGGAAGACCACTTTTACACATAGCAAGGAAAACATTTCTTTCTTTAACTTAACATATGTAATTTGTATATTTATTTAATTATATTTAGGGTTTAACAATGTCAGTAGTTCTTCTTTTCATATTATTTTACAAAAGAATATACTCTTTCAAGTGCTGTTCTTGAGAAGAAAAAATCACATTTTATATTTTCAGTTACAGACCATCTCTCAGGTGTTTGTCCTCATTACAGAAACTGCATTTCCCACTTTTTAAATGGGACTCAAATTTTCATTTCAAGTGTTACAAATTTCTGCACTCAATTCCATAATATATTCAGCTATTGACAATTATTGAATTTTACCTCACTTCTGTATTCTCTTTCCGCATGCAGGGAGCCAGGGGAGCAAGGAAAGGGTACTGAAATTCTCCTGGACATCAGAATATAGTATAGCATTATCCAATTAAAAAATTACTGCTGAGTGTAGTCAATGAGTTTGTCACAGTCTCTTTTGATGTACATTATTTTAAAATGTAGCAGGTCACAACAACAAATTTCAATACTGGTGTATCTTTTTTAAATTTTAAGACCATCATACTGAGCCTGACAGTAAACCTGGAAGAGTTAAAATAATGAACCTCAACACAATTACCTAGAAGACGAGCAATGTATGATTAATTCTACTTACCTGGTATTCAGCAAGTCTTGTATTACCCATACTGACAATCATGTGTAGTATCAAGTATGTGCACATAATTATGTAAAAGATTGCAAACACTGCTATTGCAATCCATATTCCCCATTGATGAGGAATGTCGTATATCACAGAGTGCACCACAAAGAATGTATTAATTGCAATAACCACTAATGATAAAGCTATAGCAACCACTTTGTTGGCTCTGAAATAGATGACAAAAACAATAAATGAAATAAGGACAGCTAAAATTTCAAATTCCTAGAACTCTTTTTTTTTCATGTGCAAAAATTCTACAAACATCTTAACTCTTCTTGCTCGTAATTTAATATAGCATATCTCTTGAAACGTACTCTATTCATGCACCTGTCTCATCTCTTAATTAAATATCACATCTCTCTTACTTTTTACTTCAGTTTTCTCAAAAGTAAATCAACCCCTTCCATACTGCGTTTAATTTAGAAAACACAATTTTTAATTCAGTCTGTTTCTTTGTTCAGAATAGAAGAGGCCAGTCATTGTAACCAATACATCTCTTAAGTAGTAAGATTAATAGTAACTGTCATTCTAAAAATATTACTTACATGCCATTGACAAATTCTCCCATTATTTGCGCATTGCTTGTGAAGGCAATAGTTGGAATTGTTGCAAATGGTAGTTGCAAACTCATAACAGCATTCAACAAATCGTTCATACCAGTCAGGTTATCAATGTCCAAGTAGAAGGCCACAAAAAATGTTGGCACAATAGCAATTGTACGGGTGAACAGTACACGCTTCCATCTTGACCACTGCAGATTTAAGAAGCCCTAACAACAGACACATTTGTATGTTATGTTAGCAACTGCAGTGAAGAAATTACTCTTATTTTTAAGGACAAACACATAATAGTTATTACATGCTACAAATGCTTCAGAATATGGCATGGTACTATAAAATAACCAGTAAGAAAGTGGACACTATGCATCAGCTTTTCTTACCATACAAAGAGAATATCAGTTAAATAATATGAAATTTGCTCTCCATATCACTGAAGTCTCTCTTAGTAAAAGAAAACATGAAATTTAGCTGTTCTCAGAATTCCACCAAATAAATCATGATGTAATGAACAGTGACTTAAATTAGTAAAATAAAGGAAACAGATTGGTTGTATGTTAGCAAACAAATGAGTGAAGACAGATACAGTATGTGAGTCCAAAATCCAAGGCTAGTCAAAAACTGAGCAATAAAGGGACCATCTAAAATATATGGGTACGCAAGATGAAAACAAATAGTAAAATGAAAATTTGTTGATGTCTGTACAGGAAAATTCATTTCAGAATGGATGCAAGCCTGGTGATTTGTTTGCAGACTCCCATACTGTTATGCTAGATGGAAGAATTACATAATTTCAGTAAGCTACTAAGCTTTCTTGCAGGAAATTAACTTAGAAAACCTGAAGTCTATACAAACTAGCCTACCATTAAGCCCTGAACCAAATTTTTTTGTGTTGAAATTGACAATTTAAAATCTGAAATGTTACAAATCTCATGGTATCAACTAAATTTTTTAGACGGTGCATTCACTATATTTGAAATTAGAAAGAAATGGAAACAATGTAAAAATAAACACTACCAATTTATGAGAAATCTCACTTTTGTAAACTTTACACAAAATTTTATAGTACTTCCCTGGCATGATTAACACTATTTATAACTGAAATAGCCATCAGTGTGAAGTCTGCCATAATATGTTAGCTAATGATCAATCTTTTGAATTCAGTGTATGTTAAAGAGAAATGAGAGTATCATGGATAAATGTTTTGGAAAATTACAGATTTTCAAAAAAGGGTAATTTCTTTATGAAAAATGTACAGTATAAGCTTTTAACTGAATATAGAATATCCAAGAAACTTGTCAAGTAAATTAAAATATAAATGCCTGAGGTGTCTATCATAGTTTGTACAGTAAGCATTTATCGGACGCTTGTCAGTCCAGCCCAGCCCAGAAATGCTTTATCCCCAGAGATGTTTAGGTTTTTTTTTTGAATATGTCAAAGAGCTGGACCTGAATGACTAAAACCAGAAAATGTGGAGAAGGTGAAATCAATTATGGGAAATGTAACTGACAGCTGTGAAATAATTGCTGTTGCCACTTTCATAAACTTTGAATCCCATCATAGAGATGCACACATACCTACTATGGTTTATTCACACCTTACTACATAAAGAACTGCATACAGAATTTACCAATTAACATTATAATTTTGTATGTATGTTCATTAATCTGTGGAAACATCTCAGTGGTAATGTGCATGACAAGAAAGGTCACTGATCACTTACCTCCATCGCAAATTGTCCTGAATATGTACCAGTCATTGTGCTTGACTGACCTGCTGCCAGAATGCCCACACCCCAGATGTACATGGCAGCTGCCCCAAATGCACAGCCCAAGAAAACACCACCTTTGAAAAGATCTGCATCAACAAGTTCATTTTCTTCATGAGTCTGGAAAAAGAAGTATTAAACATGTTTCATATAGTGAAAATGTCTATGTCACTTGATAAATTTCAGATGAGCATTTAATTTTTTAATATCACATTTCTGCATGACACATTCTACTGGAATTATAATCCTGTTAGCCTGGAAAATCAAGCACTGAATGATGATCAATCAATAACTTTAAATTTAACATAATGTACAATGTGAATATAGGTACTTACATCAAACACATAAGTGAATGTAGAATTGTTATCGACACACATTTTATACTGCAAAAGAAATGACAACCAACATTGTTAATATATGTGAAAATCAAAAGTCTTGAAAATTCCTTCCAAATTATGTTTGGCCTTTCAGTAATTGATTCAGTCAATACAAAGTATTATATTAGTGGGATCTGTCATATACAGCAAAACCATACATATCTTGGAAATTAATTACACAGATAATGACATTTCAAACTAGTGTCTCATTACAAAATATTAGCAACTACACTACAGTGTAGCAGTAATGTCTAAGCTCCAGTGTCTGAACTCTGGATGCCAATAATGGTTCAATGTGTTAACATATCTGGATTAAGTAGGGGTGCGACATTGCAAAGTCAACATAACTTGTGAAATCATTTATGTCTATATCAAGAGCTGATGGAATAATGTTTCTCTGATTTTATAGTGCCTTGATGTTTTACTTAATGTAGTAGGTGTTGGAAATACCAAAAGACTTGGAGAATACAAAAATTTTGGTCTATAAGGAAGTTCTACTTGATAAATGTGATAGATTCTATAGCCATTAAGTTTTACACAATAATGAAATTCCTGTTTCCAGATTAATATTTCATAGTTCATAACATAAACTGATATAATTGTTATAAATTTTTATTTCATTCATATATGTATCTTTGTCTGCCACCCGAAATACTCACCACCTCACCGTTGGTCTTCTCAAACAGTCCATATGCAAACACAGCAACCACAAACACATTAATGATGAATGAACAAAACAAAGCAATACATCCTTCAACAAAGAAGTAATAGTTGGCCTCCCTGACTTTCTCAGGCTTTGTTCGGTCTATGTCTCGTGACTGAGGAGAAACAAGAAGTAACATTTTTACTAAACATCATCCAATATTAATTTACACCCCATGACAAACATTTCAAAATAAAAGGAAGCTGAATTTGAAGCTCCAAACTCTGTGGGTCAGTATTCTATTCAAAATTACATTCCGATATTATCTGTTTCATAGTATATTTAATAACACACAGAGAAAGAATCACACAAATTTCACACTCATCTTCTGTCAGAATACGACAAAGATAAAGACAAAAGAGTGGAAAAGTGTCCTTCAAATTGGGTACACCATTCCACTCTTTTGGTGTCTTCAAAGTATTCTTCTTTGTATTTGACTTATTAAATACTAATTGCACACTTATGTATACTTTATGCAGATATAGAGCATTCATGTTGACTGTGTTAGCTGAGCTAGCATAGTTAAGCAGCACACTCTGCCCCTGATTTTATGTCACAAGGAGCCATTTCTGGGGGCACTGAAAGTTTAAGTTGATCTTCATGCAAAGTAGGCATTAGACAAGCATGTTTTGGATATCTATGATGTAATATCAGACATGAAATATGGATGGATGGATGGGTGGATGAATGGAAGGATGGATACAATCTTCCCATTGTGCACTCATTGTTGTATGTTCATTAATCTGTGGAAACATCTCAGTGGTAATGTGCATGACAAGAAAGGTCACTGATCACTTACCTCCATCGCAAATTGTCCTGAATATGTACCAGTCATTGTGCTTGACTGACCTGCTGCCAGAATGCCCACACCCCAGATGTACATGGCAGCTGCCCCAAATGCACAGCCCAAGAAAACACCACCTTTGAAAAGATCTGCATCAACAAGTTCATTTTCTTCATGAGTCTGGAAAAAGAAGTATTAAACATGTTTCATATAGTGAAAATGTCTATGTCACTTGATAAATTTCAGATGAGCATTTAATTTTTTAATATCACATTTCTGCATGACACATTCTACTGGAATTATAATCCTGTTAGCCTGGAAAATCAAGCACTGAATGATGATCAATCAATAACTTTAAATTTAACATAATGTACAATGTGAATATAGGTACTTACATCAAACACATAAGTGAATGTAGAATTGTTATCGACACACATTTTATACTGCAAAAGAAATGACAACCAACATTGTTAATATATGTGAAAATCAAAAGTCTTGAAAATTCCTTCCAAATTATGTTTGGCCTTTCAGTAATTGATTCAGTCAATACAAAGTATTATATTAGTGGGATCTGTCATATACAGCAAAACCATACATATCTTGGAAATTAATTACACAGATAATGACATTTCAAACTAGTGTCTCATTACAAAATATTAGCAACTACACTACAGTGTAGCAGTAATGTCTAAGCTCCAGTGTCTGAACTCTGGATGCCAATAATGGTTCAATGTGTTAACATATCTGGATTAAGTAGGGGTGCGACATTGCAAAGTCAACATAACTTGTGAAATCATTTATGTCTATATCAAGAGCTGATGGAATAATGTTTCTCTGATTTTATAGTGCCTTGATGTTTTACTTAATGTAGTAGGTGTTGGAAATACCAAAAGACTTGGAGAATACAAAAATTTTGGTCTATAAGGAAGTTCTACTTGATAAATGTGATAGATTCTATAGCCATTAAGTTTTACACAATAATGAAATTCCTGTTTCCAGATTAATATTTCATAGTTCATAACATAAACTGATATAATTGTTATAAATTTTTATTTCATTCATATATGTATCTTTGTCTGCCACCCGAAATACTCACCACCTCACCGTTGGTCTTCTCAAACAGTCCATATGCAAACACAGCAACCACAAACACATTAATGATGAATGAACAAAACAAAGCAATACATCCTTCAACAAAGAAGTAATAGTTGGCCTCCCTGACTTTCTCAGGCTTTGTTCGGTCTATGTCTCGTGACTGAGGAGAAACAAGAAGTAACATTTTTACTAAACATCATCCAATATTAATTTACACCCCATGACAAACATTTCAAAATAAAAGGAAGCTGAATTTGAAGCTCCAAACTCTGTGGGTCAGTATTCTATTCAAAATTACATTCCGATATTATCTGTTTCATAGTATATTTAATAACACACAGAGAAAGAATCACACAAATTTCACACTCATCTTCTGTCAGAATATGACAAAGATAAAGACAAAAGAGTGGAAAAGTGTCCTTCAAATTGGGTACACCATTCCACTCTTTTGGTGTCTTCAAAGTATTCTTCTTTGTATTTGACTTATTAAATACTAATTGCACACTTATGTATACTTTATGCAGATATAGAGCATTCATGTTGACTGTGTTAGCTGAGCTAGCATAGTTAAGCAGCACACTCTGCCCCTGATTTTATGTCACAAGGAGCCATTTCTGGGGGCACTGAAAGTTTAAGTTGATCTTCATGCAAAGTAGGCATTAGACAAGCATGTTTTGGATATCTATGATGTAATATCAGACATGAAATATGGATGGATGGATGGGTGGATGAACGGAAGGATGGATACAATCTCCCCATTGTGCACTCATTGAAACATAAACAAAATATTTATTGCAACAATGGAAACAATCACAAAAATACAAATTTCAGTAACTGAAATCAAAGGTCAAAAACAACCATTATTCTTCAATCAAGAGGAGAGTTAGACTATTCAGTCTGAGCTTAACTTTAGTCTAGTATGAACCTTCCATCTGCACAGAAGTTTAACTCTACAGAACAAGCTCCCCCTGTCTTCAACTTAAAAGCAATCACAACACACTATAATAAAAGAAAAGAGAACAGAAAAAGTATGTGTTTTGTAAGATTTTCTAACTTTGTTTTATTTTACGAAAATTTTATTTCCAGAAATAGATTTCACTGTCCATTAGAATTTGCTGTAAAGACATTTCATGACTATATACTCCATAAAGACTACTCAGTTAGCTAATAGTTCACTGCTGTGACACATTTACCTTGACCAAAGCTGAATGGAGATAAAGATTGTGAGGCATGATGACAGCTCCAACAATGCCAACAGCCTGCAGCAGTACTGAGCCTTCACAGTGTTCACACCACGGAAAGAACATGCCTTTTAGCACCTGACCTTGATCGGGAGATGCCACCACATACTAAAATTTAATTACAATCTTGGTGTTAAATGGTTGGGAATATAAATACCATAAAGAATAACACAAGTACTCCTAAACAAGCAAACAAAAAGATAAAAAATATGTATTACCATGTCACTAAACCATAATCTGTAACAAAGTCATGACATAACAATAGGTAAGAAAATTTCTGAATGTGTTTGAAAATAAAAATTCACAATAATTAAAAATGAGGTTCTTGATGAAATTAAGTGAAAAATAAATTCAAGTTTTGCTTATTATTATACTATTCAAAAATGTATCCAATTACCTTCGCAAAACGCAAATGATATACTACAAAATAATTTTGGCAGTTGTTCTATAAAGTTGGCCTCTTAGTCTGAGGGAAGAACAACATAATCAAAGCATTTTAAAACAAAGTGCTCAGGAAAAATATTTGAACCTAAGAAGAAAGTTCTCAGAGAAATCAGAATACTTTTGACAAGAAAATATGTGACACCAGTCATCTAGTATTGTTAAAGTAATAAAATCAATAGGTTATACTGTGCTGGACATGTAGCCTGGATGAGAAGACAAGAAATGCACACAGAATTATGGATTATGGGAAAAGCAGCCACTTGAAACACGGAGAAGGATATGGTAGGCTGAAATTAAACATCTCAGGATGGGAAGTGGTTGGAATTCACTTAGAATCATGTCTTAACTACTACCAGAGACTTTGTTCAGAAGAAGACAATATAAATATTACATACTTCATAACCAAATGTGACAGCCATTACTAGGATGAGGAAGCCAAAAAGTAACTCAAGCTTGCGTAAATGTGAATGTATCTACGACTGTGATGAGAACACCACCCCAAAGTGGAATTCTACAGAAGAAAAAAAACTCGTAATAATTTCATTTCAATTGTATAACAGTATTACTATATTTTTTACTATCTTCAATTATTCTGAAGAACAAGGTATAGATACTTACGCCATATTGGAGAGAAGCAAAATAGCTATGGCTGTTCCTATAACTTCTTGCATATCAGAACCAATGATGGCAATCTCAACCATTAACCAGAGAATAATACGTGGGACCTTGCGATACTGCCTGTAGCACATCTCGGCCAAATGAAGACCAGTTACAACCCCAAGGCGAGCTGCCAGTCTCTGCATCACAAGTCCAAGAATGGTAGCTGCCAGTAACACCCACAGCAGCTAGAAGAGAAAGATATATGTAAACCGTAAACATACAACTGAACATGGACTATCAACATGGAGGAAGAACATGCATTATAAGAATTCTAATGGCATCTCCTATTAAGAGCGAAGACAAAATTACAACTCAAGCACTGTCTCATATTTCGAGGGAATAACAAATTACATTCGAAACATAGTTTATCTGAGGAAAGTGCATATATGACAACTGTAACAATGTCTGTCATTCTGGAGGAGGAACATAAATTACAATTTGTTTCTGATTCTGAGAGAAGAAAATAAATTATATGTTCTTGATAATAAAGAACTGATAAAAATATATAGTCCTAATATAGCTGAACCAGTTGAGTGAATAATACAATGACAGACTGTGAGTTATGCACCTCACCTAGTTCTGTCAGGATATTTATAACCAAAGAGGTTGTAATGGGCTGGACCTATAGCTGGACTTCCTGATGAAGGAATGAAATATAACCACTCAGAATTCAGGCCTGTGATATGTGGAAAAAGTCACACAGAATCTGTGTAGAAAACATGTACTGGTACTCCAAACTGGAGTACACTTGTCTCGACAGGAGATAAAAAGCAACATCCTGCTGTCTGTCACAAATCAAATATTTATTGTTTTGACTAAATGAAGTCTTATTACCTTGTACTGTGCTACAGTGCCTGACTGAAGATCTGATTCAATGTTTCCTGGATCTAGATATGCAATACTCATGAGGAAACCAGGTCCAGTGAAAGCCCACAAGAGCCGGAAACTGAACCCATGCTGAAATAAACATAACACAACTTGAAATACATACAAATGTCAAGAAGAGTCCCTAACAATCTTGACAAGTTTGCATAGCTGCCATATTAGCATTAATAATTCCAAGAAATTAAGAGATATAAAGGTGAGGTATCTTCAAATGGCATAATGCTAATTTCAAGTTCCTTAAAAGAAAATCAATTGGTTCTAACATTAATAGGGGAGAACAGACATCTGCACACACATGAATATGTGGACAACATGGATATGATAATACAAAAAGCCTGCCTCTTCTTATAATTATAAGTAGCTAAGAAAGAATTATTTGCAACATCATGACCACAAATATGACCATGATCTGTTTGTCATTCTTGTTTTTTCTGTGCCAGTGTGTTTTTCTTTTTGATCACAGCAAGTAGGATTTAATAAAAATTATACCAGACAAATAGTTGTAGCTGATATTTGTGATTTAATTACCACCTACAATTATAACTAGTTTCAGAAAAGCAGAGCCTTGCATATGTAGGCTTGTGTAACATGGTAAAAGTGAAGGTAAAGCTATCCCTGTGTCTAAGCACAATGCCAAGTAGGCATATACCTTTCATAACATGAGGTTTGATATGTATTTCTTTAGCCTTTTTTGTCCTTTTGAAAATCTTATGCACAGTCCAGCTTTATGTGCACAGCATTAACATACTGCTAAACTGGTAACCACAGAGTAAAATTCAACTGGCAGCCCCATAGTATGGGGCTTTAGATCACCTTTGCCCACAAGATAAAGGTTTAATTTGTATAAATCTATCCATGTAAACAAAATTTGGTCAGTACTTTTAATGCCCATACTGATCTTGTTAGATGTTCCACTGACTCCGCAGTGGCAGACATGTTCGAGTAGAATATTCTAAACTGAGCTCCACTTAATCAGCTATTCCAAGTGTGTGATTTATTTCAGATTATGAAGACAGAACCAGGACCAAATAAATACAATATTGTGTTCATAATCTGAATCACACCTAAAAAAATACTACATTATGTTTAACAACACATACCTTCTCTGTGTGAGGGATTTGAACTTTGTTCTCCTTGAAATATGTCTGCTTAGCTGTTGGTGAAAGAAATGTGTTTTCGGTAGAAATTACTGAGGGGGTGTCGGGGACGCCTGATGTACTGACATGGCATTTGTCATCTACACCATTATTATCCATTGTACCACTCATTCAGCCCTGAGTAAAAAACATGTTGTAATACAGTGAATATTTTAAACAAATAAATAAAACATATTTCATGGCAAAACAGCAAATGAAGATGTCTGCTTTCTACACAACTGAACATTTGTACTGACAATGTCAAACAACTTCATTGCTTAGGAATGACACCAAATATATTTTCAGTTTCTTAAATTTTGTTCTTCACAGTCTTCTTATGTGCCTTGTAAACCTTGATCTCATTAGTGCAAACTCAAACAATACTAGCTGAAGACACTAGTATTTTTCAATTAAACTGTAGAGAATTCCATTAAAGGTAACACCAGAAAAACTGATACTGATATTTGCTAAATGAAATGAAATACATAAAATAAAATCTGGCTCGGAGGACTTGTCATTGTTTTGAAAATAAGACAGTGACAAACATGTTACAAATGGTTATGCTTGGGTTCTGTAATAGTACCAGTTTGTCAGAAAAATAAAATTTAGAAACATGCTCATCACCATACACATACAACACAGAACATTAAACTAAATAACACAACTGTCTTTAACCACTTTTACCAAGTTCATAATCCTGCAAATGTTCTCATTAAACTTAAACGTAAGACTGAAGTGGAACCCATCTTGACACCAATTTTTAAAATAATTTTTACAGAACTTTTTCGCCAGACGTCTGTTACAACTTATAAGAAGTGAAAATTTATGTGAGGTTAATACTTCATATCTGAAAATTATTAAGGTTTCAAGCATAAGCTTTGGCTCAAGGTTCTTCAAGTAACTGACAGAAATGTTTTCACCTTCTCAGTGTGTCTTCAAATTTGTTTTTTGAAACATATTTATCTTGCATGTATTTCTGAAGCAGTGTGTGAGTACTGTTTCTAGTTAAACTATTTATTTTTGATGGTACAGGCAGGTGAATTTGGGTATGACCAGTGGTTATTGTTCTACATGTTTCCATCAGACATTTAGTTTAAATTATGTGCTGTGAGAAAAAAAAAGCCTAAGTAAATTTGCCATGGGATCCAGATCATTCTTCTTGAATTCTTGTCCACACAAACTCCTTTTACATTCGCAGGTCATATCTGTTTTACATTGCCTAAAAAGACATAGACAGACAGACAGACAGATAAATAGACGTACATTTGTATACCATTATATGCAGTTTACAATTATCTGTACTAAAATTCACAGTTATGAGTCACCATAACCAGCATTTCTCTGTAGTGTTGCCAACTGACTGAGTTTTATGATGGTTATATGAATGAAAATGTATCCCTCAAGTATTAGCAACTCTTCAGCTGGTAGTTGTCTCTCTAATCAGGCATTTAACAAATTCTTTACTTCAGTGATTATGAATGTTATGACAGTTACAAATTTCGGTACTTGTGGGTTATCCGGACACATCGCTTTAAAAATAGGTTAGGTTAGGTTAGTTGTCATTTAGTGAAATAAAATATAATAACTTTCAAGTATGTCATTTATTCACACACATTAACCTAACCTAACCTATTTTTAAAGTGATGTGTCCCGATAACCACAAGTACCCAAATTTCTTGTGTATCACTATATAACACCATAGCCTTTCACGAAATTTGAGCTTTGTTGTTTCGCAATAAAATAAAAGTTGAATTGAATTACAATGGATATTGCTGTCATATGGGTTGTAGCATCATGCAGTCTGGTGGAAGTTTATCGACATTTGTGAGGTACTTGCTGCCTCGACCATCAGGGTGATAAGTGAGCCAATGAACTTCTACCAGACTACACAGTGTTACAACACAGAAGGCAGTCATCTTCAAACTTGCAGCCATGAGAACCTCAAATTGTACTAAATTGCAATGGTATGAAAAACAAGAAACCTTGAAAGAATAGGGCACTTTGGCTCACCTAATCCTTAACCCAGAAGAGCTTTAACTCCTGCTGTTATAGATGTAGTAAATGAGTTACACCAGATACTATCAGGGTGATCAAATCAAGGATGAAGTGACATTTCTGAACTGTGTGAAGATGCTTAGTAAGTAATTATTTTATCAAAACACAGAATGTATAGCTTTTGGAGCAATTGTAAGTTTACTGTATGGTGTCTAGTTGAACTATTTTTTTTCTTTATTAATTTTGAGGTAGAAACAATAATAATCCATTTAATGCTGTGTGAGGAAAAATAATGGCAGGTGTTAAGGTAAAAGTATCTTGCACAGAATTATTTAAGAAATTTCATATACTCCCCCTTGCGAGTAAATTCCTATTCTCATTATTATCTTTCATTGCGGACACCGTCCAAACTCTCTCTGACTTAAGGATAAATACAAGGTATAAGCATGATCTCAATCCACTCAGCACTAACCTCACAAGCGCCCCCAATGATTCCTACCCTGAACGACATTCTTATACCCTTATAAGACCAATTTTAATGTTATGTCCCTGTATGTGCCTATGTCTTCAAAGTTGTCTCATCTCCTTAGATTTCCAAAATTTTACACGTAAATGTTATGCAAAGCAGAATAATTGCACACTGAGCACAGCACTTTGGTGATGTAGAGTTAATAAAATACATATAAAATGAGATTCATTCACAAAATATTAATGGAGGAGGAATAAAAACCCCTTGCACACAATAATACTCAATGGACTTATTATTTGAATTTAATTTGAGGGTCTCTGGAAGACAATGCCCAAAAACCTAATACTTGATGCTATAATGCAAAACAAGTATTAAACACTCTCACCACTGATATGTATTTTACGGTTCAAAAGGATCAGACCATGTAGATTTTAACAGCACTCATATTACCAGTTATAACATTTCACTAAACAGATTTAACAAACATAGTTACAGTGATTAATCAGTTATATTGCAGTCATGCCAAAATGTTTAATTAGGTTTTATTTCTTTACATAAATTACAAATTATGATGATTTTGGGGAGATGTGTATCTATTGCTATTTGAAAAATTATTTCCTTACTGCTGTACTGTTTGTTAACACGAAGTGACCCCAATGAATACCATGGATAAACTACTGTGACAAATAATTAATAAGGATGCAGATTTCAGTTAAAAGGCAATATGCCATCACTTCCTAGGATTATAAAGGGGATATTCACAAAGTCATTATCCCTGTAATAATTTTGGAAATTTTAAAAAAAATTAATCCATGTCGCATTGTAACATTTTGTACGTCACATGGGTAATGTAACAGGCACATCTTTAATTTTCTAAACTATAAACTTGTTGCAGAATGCAGCGTTTCGCTGGCTAGATGTATTACCACTTCTTCGTCGTCACTGCAGTTAATGAATATTGTTATATAATTTCAGGCATTAAATTATTAAAACTTTTACAATTATATTTTCAATTTTTATGCAATTTGCATCAGTTTTATAAACAAGTATTATATTTGTGCTGTGACATGTTCTACATCCTTGGCTTTGGCTTATGAAGGATCTATGGAATATAAAAAAATAAATTCAATTCAATTCTATTCTATTTCGTATACAGGACAGCATACGAATAATTTATTGCAGTGTTTTCAACGTTGGAATGTCTTAACAGAAACGTGAATGCCAATCACACTTCCATTCTTCAGGTTTCGAAGTTGCACTATACAATACACTAATCTGTTTAACGAATCACATAGTATGTGTAAAAACTTTGTAACTCACTTCCCACTAACACGGCACTACAGTAAATTCTCTTGCAGTGTCCCGTCTGTTGTACTTCACACTGATAAATCCCTACATTAGTCATATAACGGCTGGTCCTCCTTCTCTTGTTGTGGAGTGCCCCATTCCCCCATTCCTCCCCACCACTTCACCGCCATGTATGAATGTATCGTCTTCAGTTTCCACGAATGAATTTCGTAAGTTAAATTCCAATTACTGTGTCCTAGAATATAAACTCTTACGAGATAAGAATCGTGCATTTGCAGGCACTAAACATAGGAACGTAGACGGTTCGATAGCTCATCGCTTCAGCGGGTCGCATGGCGGAATGTAACTTTCACCTCGGTTCTTAGGAATTGACAAAAGTATAACATCATTTTTTCCCCCTTTATTTTCTGCATTGCTACAAGGAATAATGTTTTCTTTTGTGGACAACGCTAAGGATGAGACTAGTTCGTTTACCAGTGACCACGTTGATGGTACCGAAAGACTGTCGCTTTATTTTGATGTAATTTATATTAGAAGATGGCTGTCTTCTGGATTGTTGCGCCGTGTAATCTTGTAGAAGTTTACCGACGTTTCAGGAGTCCTTGCTGCCTTTGAAACATACGTTAAGTTCTACAAGGCCACACGGCGCAACAACCCAGAAGACAGCCATCTTCAGACTCATAGCTGCGAGAACCCCAAATCCTACTTTATGTTACTCATCCACTGTGATGTTCGTTGCCAGAATACAAATGAATGAGCTGTTACTTCGTTTCATATGATAAGCATATATTCCGGAAATGCATCAAAGGAGAAACGTCTTAACTTTTGAAGCACCGAATTCGTTTAAACAGTATTTAAAAACTAAATTCCCACTGAAAGTAAACACAACACATTTCCGTACAAAGCTCAGTTTCTTAATCTTGTTTAGGGAAGTAATCGCTGTTTATTCTGAGAATCATTCGAAACACACAAATTCACTCTGTGGGCAAACTGCAGACTTATTAAACGTTAAAGCACGTAGTACATATAGTTACCACTGCGCTTTAAACTGAAAGTTTAAATGAGACACGTCATATACTGTCCAGTATAATTTTAGTTTAGGGAGTTTAATAAATAGTATAATGTTATGCATAACTGAAATTTGGGTTATAAATTAGATGACGTCAGTTTATTTAAAATGTTACGTACTTGATATTGAAACCATTGCATAAGACAATGGCGGTTTACAAGCCCCTGTTCTAAAGAGTCGTATCCCGCCGGTATCTCAAATTTTATGTCGGAGTCCACCCTCGCCTTGCCCTGCCCTTATGATATGCGGCCTAGTTTGTCACAACTCTTTGATAGAAGTGTCAGGACGGCGTCGCGGCACACACAAAAGCGCCGAAACGCAGCACGCGCGCTCGTACGCACAAGGAGTTCGCATTACACGGCCCGCCGGTGTATTCTGTGCGGGCCGCATATACGATTTTTATGAAAAATTGTATTTTAATATCATAAAACACTTCGTTAACATAGTATTTGACAATACCTGTCGCTGTGAGCAACTTTCAGCTTATGCTTCGATCGTGTTGTCAAGAACTGTGATGCTTCGTATATTTGGAGGAATGCATGAGAGCCGCTGTGAGATCGGTTAAACCCGATTTGAACTATTACTGTTGCGAAAGCAGCTTCAAGTAGGTCTATCTCACTAATGACCTACTTTGTTTTACAGAAGTAATGAGCAATAGGTGAACCTGTTTACAACAGAAGGCCTTCAATAAACTGCAGTGACGTTTCAAGAAATAGTCCTCGTGTATAACCACGCGGTGTACTAGTTGATTACAAGAGGTGATATTGGCCCGAGGTCTGCAAAACGTTGAGAACCCCTGCTGTATACAATGTGCCCCCAAATGTCCTATTTTCATTTCAGTTAGGTGAAGTGGAAATGTGTCTTTTAAATAAATTCAAATTTCATAAGATAGTGTAATTGCGTCATATTGTGAATATTATAACAATTATTTATTTTAATCCGTCTGATCACAATATTTAAAATTTCTTATAATTAAGACACCTATTCGAAGACACTAGTACTTCTGGACATATCGGGACACTCACTCCTACATCTTTGGCCGATATGTACATCTAATAACATTTAATAAAAACAACACCTTCGCCCAAAAATGGAAAAACAAACGTAATGAAACATCACCAAAAAACTACAGAAATCATAATTGAGTTTTAAGTTCTTAGATATATTTTACACCTGATGATGGTTTTATAAAAACCGAAACATGTTGTGTAAATGTTCCGAAATGTAAATCAATCAATCGATATGGAACATGAATGATATTTTATTATCTTAATTATAAGAAATTTTAAATATTGTGATCAGACGGATTAAAATAAATAATTGTTAAATTCAAATTTGTTTGTGCTTGTGGGAAAACAAGACTGAAAAGAAAAGCTTAGGCTAGAGCTTGAAGTGACAAAAGTAGACGGTTATGACACTCAGACTGACGTGCCTCAGCTACAGTTTTCCTCAAGGCTTGACGGTAACGAACAGTGCATGGAGTCTTTATTTCTCAGCTCGTTATCTCCAAGGTGACTTGCCGCTGATAACACGTGGACGGAAGAACAATAAGTTACAAGGAGTAGCTGAGGTGAAGGGAATTCCCTTCGACTTTAATTTCCACGACAGGCTCGCACAAGGAAACGGCCTGCCACCGACGCTCTCCAGGACTGTGATGTAATTAGTACCAGTTCCTATTATGCATGCGAGCACACGGAGTGCAAAACACATGATGCTGTAATTTAAAAAGTCCCCAAGAAAACCCTGAAACTGAAATGAGGAACACAGTTCGAGACGAAGAGACTGTTTATTCTTCTCGGTGTGGAATGATGTCAAAGTGGTAAGAATTACTGATGTGCCGGTAGTAACTATTGCTATGAGCAATAGTCCAGCTTAATGGAGGCTCGCGGGTCGATAAGTAAGAGTGAATGAAGCCGTTGAACTAGAAAGATTGTAAACTTCTGATGTATCGTTCAGTAACAGTAGTTAGTAGTAGAAGTGCGAGAAGCCATCAGTAGAAGCAGCAGTAGCTTCCACCCTGAGGAAGAAAGCCAGGATCCTCCGAATCGTCGGTAATTTTTAACACTGGCATGTTGCGATGCCCAGAAGAAACTAGATCGAATCTGGACCTCCGTGGAAAACTCATATTCAGGAACAGTCATTTACCTCGAGTACATTTGCCTACGTTGTATCACGCATGCAGGAATATTTGTACAGGAGGGAGAGTGGAACAAGGTCGAGTCGCTGGCCGTGATGATAATACATTCACCTTGCTTGGAATTAGCTGACACGACGTGTGGAACGTGTAGTCTCTTGTCACTAGACGATAAAGGATAAAGGCCTCTAGGTCTACGGACTGTGGTTAATTGCTCATGAATCGTGTGTCGTCCATTGCAACCACGAACATTCTGAACAGCAATTATGGAAAAGACACTAAAATTAAACATTTCATTATTCGAATGTAGGATTTGAGGTTTTCACAGCGGTGAATTTGAAGATGTTTGTCTCCTGGGTTGTTGCGCCGTGTAGTCTGGTAGAAGTTTACCGACGTTTCAGATATCCTTGCTGCCTCCATCATCAGTGCGATCGCCCTTCTTCTAATTCTTCGCTTCTTCTACCAGACTACGCGGCGCAACAACCCAGAAGGCAACCATCTTCTAATTATTGATTGATCCTTTGGTTATTTAATGATGCTCTGTAAGGAACAGATATTGCACAGCGTCGAATGAAGAAATATGATCATGAACAGTAAGTAGGGATTTGGAAAGAGACGATCAAGGTACTATCTAGGCATTTGCCCGGCTGAAATTCGAACCGGGTAACCCTAAACTGTGAGCCAGATATTTTAATACCTCTGTCAATTGGCACGGTTTGTTCCGTTGTTAGCAGAGGTCCAGGGTTCATTAACTGGTGAATACGCGTTTAGATTATAGACCGTTTGTTGACTTGTTAGCATTACTTTTTCTCATTTGTGTTTTTCTGGATTCTTCTCTCGGGATGGAGTCCTTAAAGTAAGTCACGGTCGCTTCATCCTAACTCATCAATCATGATTGTCCTCCCATGGCCCTCTTAATTT